TGTGGTGAGCATTATCGCTTTGTTGACTAATTATATTACAGTAATTGTGACGCATGTGTTACCAATGAACACTGTGGCTTCTGCCGAGCTGGTACAGAGAAAAATTCTAAAGGGTTTGTATTATTCTTGGCTACATGCAAAAAAATCTTAATGGACCCCTACAATAAGTTAACGATTGTTGAGCAAAATTAATAATTACGTCAACTTGAACCATACAGTGAATAAGCGCCAGAATCTCTAGTTAGAAAAGGCAAGCCGTTGAGTTACAGGGAGGTGCAAAATTTTTATAGAATTTCATACTTCACAAACGTTATTAGCTTTTTTCAGAAACCATTTCGTGTAGGTAACAATTTGAGTCATGATGTTTCTCACTTTGCATCTATTTTGAATGATATTATCAAGACTTTTCGGAAGTCCGTTTACTAAACGGGCTGGGAAGATGTATTCAGAGGTTGTATTTTTCTTCGTATATAAAAAAAAATATCGTTATTATTTAATAATGTGAGGGCCAAAGACAAAGAGCGATACGGATGAGGTTTTGACTTTTGACATTCTATTAGATCAGAGGCATTGCAGATGGTGCTTACCAAAGCCAGTCGGCCCTTCCAGTGAATCAATCTTTGGCTATTGCACGGAAGGGCAAAAAAATGAAACATATGTATTCGATAGTGATTTCTGCCAAACGAAATTTACTATACTGCCGATCATTTTTATGATCCTCTACTTAGTGTTCTTTGCTATTGGTAAGTTACTGCTGTGCACTTTATTTTCTGAAATGCCTACACTGTCGTGTGTTCAATTTTCGGTGTTACTAAGACAGCCATGTACTAAGCGCGGTGATGCTGTAATTCCTGTTAGCTTTATCAACAGCCGATAAGCATCGCGTATCAGCGAGGACAAAAACGGTAGTTTTGAAATTGGCGGCTTAATCGTGAATGGAACTCTTCTGAAAATAACTACAACGAGTCAAATCACTCGGCTTCACATCCGGATGCTATTTATTGAACCACAGTCTTCATAATCACTTAGAGTGTTTGCAGCTCTATACCAACCATTTCTGCATTTGCATGCTGGCTTTTCGCAGATTTCCCACGACAACTCCTTGAACGGCTGATCTGCATCGGGTGTAGTAAATCATGGCATATAGCTCAAAACTGGGGAAATAGGCCTAGTTTCATTTTAAAGACGGTTGTATTTCTATTTTGGTTGTTGCCATCTGCCAGGGCAGTCCAGAGATTTCGGATAATTATGAATGACATAGAGTTAATCTTGGAGAAGACGACACGCCACCAGTGGGATAACCAAACCCTCCATTTGTTTCGGCGATAAATAAGCACTGGCATACGCCAGGGAGTCAAGTTATGAGGTTGTTTCTGAACCATGCGCTCATTTAAAATGTTTGCACCTCTCTTTCAACCATTTCTGCATTAAATGGCGGGTTTTTCGCTGGACTTTCACGATATACAACCTTCGAAAGGGGAGCCATCGATAACTTTGCTAATGGGCGGTTGTTGTTGGCACGTGATACTATCCGAGGTTCTTCCGACTGCTCCCATCTTCCAGAGGAAGTGAATTAGGAAATTTGTTTTGATTTCTGTTTTGAAGAATATCCGCTACTAATCATTGGCGAAAACATTTTTATTACGTGGTTAATTTTGCAGGATATGCGCCACTTTGCTGGGTACTAAATGGCGAATTTTATCCACTATGGGCACGAAGCACAGGTTGTGCCTTATCGACCTTTTCGAATTGGATATTCAACTTGCTCGTTTCTTTAACTTATCTAACACTCAGTCAAGCTGTTACCAGATATGGTAATTTTGCTGAATATTGTTTCGCGTAGGGCTTACTTATCAAGCCCAATCTCATAAACAAGGAGGGGAATGGGGAGAGAAGGGGGCAGGGATGACGTTACAGAAGTTCATTTCAAGCTATCGCTTTCGTTATAGACAAGTGAGACGGAATAGGGAAAAGGTTTTGAGTTTGAGTCTAAGTGAAATCTAAACTACCGTAAATAGATTAAACAAAGTTAAACCGATTGTAGCGTCCAGGTTGGCGTTGAGTGTCAAAGTGAGGAAGGCGTATAAGATAAAGAACATGAGAAAATGGAAGGAAGAACGAATGAGGCAAGACATTTCGGTCCATTAAGTCATATACGTCTTAGCTCAATACTACAACTCGTCAGTATGACGGCCGAGGTGTTCAGAGGAGAGAAGGAAAAGGAAGGAGTGTAAGGGAGGAAGAAAGAAGGGGAAAAAAGAAGATAGGGAACAGAATTTTTCAATTATAATAAATTTAGAATAGTTGAAAGGGATAAAAAGGGTGAAATATAAAAGTGGAATCTCTGTGGTCCGTATGGTTGTTTGGGGGCAACATCATCACCATTGGTTTTGGTTCGTTTCGAATTCGACATAGCTGGAAGTATTATTATGCTAAACAAGAGGAGGAAGTAGCGATATAAACAGAACGTTAGCAACGCGACGTATGCGTGCGTGTTGGGTGGTATAGCTATTGTAGAACAGCGCGTATCAGATGTTGAGAGAGGGCCGCAGTAGGAGGGAAGTA